GCATATTGGCTGGTGGGTTGGCTAATTGGTCGGTTGATTGGTCGGTTGGTCTTTCTTTCTCTTCTAGATAGAGTAAGAGGGAAGTGAGTATGAGTATGAGTATGAGTAAAGTGAGTATGTGAGTGGGTGTATACTAGTGTATAGTGTATTGATTACTTATATAATCTATTGATGGATGGATGGGATGGATGAGAGTTATAATGAGTAGGTGGATGGATGAGATGAGATGGGATGGATAGATAGGATGGATAGATGGATGAGATGGATGAAATGAGAGTTTTAAAGAGTGAGTGTTATAGTATTCGAATAATAATATAGGTATAGTAGTAGTAGTAGTAGTAGTAGTAGTAGTAAAATCATCATCGATTTGATCCCATCTATAGTAATTTGAGATATAGATATAGGTATAGGTATAGATATATATACTTTGTTCTTAAGTTTGAGTAATACACTCGAGTATGTTTTGACGTTTGGATATATGGGGTTGGATTGGATTGAATTGGATGTGGATTGGATTTGGATCTCTATTATTTATTATTTATTATCTAGAGTATATGAATTTAATGGTATTAGTATTAGGGTTAGGGCTATAGGGTAGGATGTGGGAGGTATATATATGTAGGTATAGTAGATAGGTAGGTAGATAGGTAAGGGATGAAGAAGGAGGGGAAAAGGAGAAGGGAAGGGAAAGGGGAAAGGGGAAAGGGGAAAAGGAGAATTAAAATACACTATTCGTTCTTTTATCTCTACCTCTACCTCTAGCTTTAGCTTTAGCCATAGTATATACGACTACTTTAGTATAATTTCACAATGTACTACAGAATTATCAAGATATTGAAGATTAATTTCTCGGATGCATTAGACGCACTATAGATAACTTGAAGATATACTCTGGTACTCGAGTATATATCTACATCTTTATACAAATAACTTTATCCCAAAATAGTAATATAATAAGAACTTCTAAAAAATAAAATTACATTACCTTGACCATATCACACCATATCACATCATACCACAACTCACTAAACTGAAAACTTCATGATAAATCTATAAATATCCCAAAAAATCTCTTTCCTCCTCTTTTCCATCTCAGGTTATTAGCCCGAAGCTCATTCTGTTTAGAAATAGAAATGGAGGGATATTAAAGGTGTCTAGGGGGCTTCTCCAAACCATCTACTATCTGTCGCCCTTATTGAATCTTGATAGATGAGAGTGTTGATTGAAATCATATATATTTTCCTTCAAGTCCAATTGGCTTACTTGTGTAGCTTTAATACTCGAGTAGAACTCCTATGATACTTTAATGGATATATTCTTATAAACATATCTACATCTACGAGTACATCACCCTCGATATCTTGGATGTTGTACCTATATATCCCATTCATCCATTCATCCATCCATCCATCTTCAAGAAAACCCCTGAACAATCCAGTTCTCGCCCTTTCGCCCTCTTACCTTCATATCCAAACCATCTATCTATATGAGATCAAGCAACACCCTTATCCCCTCCCCTTAAATAAAACTATACAAAGATCCAGAAGTCTCCTCTCTTTCATTCTTTTCCATTCATTACCATTCCATTCGTTCACACGTTTCAAACCACACCACATCCCTCTTCCTTTTCTTTCCTTACCCTTTCCACCCCCCATCCTCTTCTCTCCCCTCCTCCCTCAAAACACAAACTCTTACAACCCCTTTCCTTTTCCTTTCCCTTTTTCCTCTTCCTTTCCATACACCATGTTTCAATATCTGTACTCACTCCCTCCATACATACATACATACATACATACAACATAATCCCAAATCAAACAAAGAAGACGATGAAACAAGCAACAAGAAAAAAATCTACAAACCTCACATTTCCTTCTTTTCCTTCCTTTAAAATCTCTATACTTACATTACAATAACAAATAAGTACATTTTCATTGAGAATACTTACCTTACCTTACTTCTCTTCTTTTGCTGCTTTCACTTTCACTTCCTCTTTCTCATTTTCACCTCACCTGTCGCTTTCTCTAATCTCATTCTACTTTCTACATTCCGATTTTCTACTTTCTGAGCCCCCCCCTCCTCAATTCTTCCCCTCAATTGGTTTATGTCACTTGATTGATGAGAGAGTATCGAAATCCAAAGCGCCGTTACGGAACTGCGGAACTGCGTTGAGTAGGTGGGTTGAATGGGAATGTTTTTGGCTTATTGGTATTCATAACCATATCCTCAATCATAATCATATTCGAGAGTTTAGACGCCGACTTCAACACCAACATCAACACCAGCTCCAGCTCCACCTCCATCTTCATATCCAATAGCTTGCTGAACCATCAACCATCTCCACCTCCACCTCCATTTCCCATTCCACCTCCAACTCCCATTCCACATCAAAACCAACATGCTCTTCCCCACCTATCCCTTCAAATTCAAACTCCCCAACCTCAAACCCCGCAAACCAAAACCCAACCTCAACCTAAATCTCAACATCAAACATCCCCAGCGACGCTCAGCTTCAAAACCCAAGAAATCAAAATGGAATTTCCCGAAATTCCACCGCACGTTTCGACGCAGAAACATGAAGATCAGAACCAAATCTAAACCTCGCTTGAAATTGAAAGGATCTAAGGGGAGCAAGAGCAAAATTAGGCATCGATTTTGCCCTATATTTCGATTTCGATTTCGATGTCGATTTCGAGCACTTACTCTTAATATGAAATCTCCATCCCTATTGCGAAAACTTAAACTAAAAGTTCCTTGGTGCTTGCATTTTCTCAGATCCAAATCTAAATGCAAAGTCAAATCCAAATGCACATCCAACTCCAAACCCAAACGCAAATGCAGATACAGATACAGATACAGATACAAATTCAGATTCAGATTCAGATGTCCCCTTAAACACAAAACCAACACCAAAACCAACACCAAAATCAACATCAACACCATCAGCAAGCCCATTATCAAAGTCTCACCCAGCAAAAGCACCTCGAATTTGAACAGAAACCCAAACTCCCCATCCAGATCCAGATCCACACCTCCACCTCCAACTCCCCATGGTACCCCACACACCCCACCGAGCGGTTTGGCAAACCCCCAAATAATCCCCGGATACCCTTACCCCTTTTCGCTAGCCCCCTCCGAATTTCCGACCACTTTTTACCGGCTGCATCTTGATGAGAATTGGAGGGATGTTTCTAGTCTGCCTGATTCTATTCCTACTCATTGCACAACTTTTCTTCAGGGAATAGACCACAATAGCAATAGCAAAACCAACACAAACACCATTCCAGCACCTCCTTACCACCCCCCCGAACACGGCTGGTCCTCCCCAAACCTGCACACACCTCTCCCCACCTCTCCCACTCACCTCCTCTCCACCATCCGCGCCCATTTTCAACAACGCGATGTATCATCATCCCCCTCATCCTCCTCACCCTCCTCAATCTTCGTACCCGGCATATGGACCACCCATCAATTTTCCGGCATAAGTCTATTTGACAACGAAGAGGATGCACTCGATGAAGCGCAAAGGTTTGGCGGGGAAAGAGAGGGAGTTCGCGTATTTGGTGTTGAGGGGGATTTGTTGAGACGGCGGGGGTGTGTTGTGTTTTGTATGGAGGAGGTGCTTGGGAGGGATGGAGATAGGGATGGAGATGGGGATGGTGGGTTGGGGAGGATTACTAAGGGGAGGTATGGGCAGAGGAGGGAGGAGAAGGGGAAGATGGGAAGGATGGGAAGGATGGGAAGGATGGGAAGGAAGGGAAGGGGATTGAGGGGAAAGGCGTATTTGGTTGTGGGGGTTATTCCTGGTGAGTTTGTTTTATCTATTTCTTATTTCTTGAAATGGGGGTGAGAAAGGCGGTTGTAAGATTTGAAATGTGAAATGTGAGGCACGGGGGTGGCGTGATGATTCGACTCACTGAATCACTTTTGAATTTGAATTCATTGAGATGAAGATACAAGTGGTGAATAAATGAAGTGGAAGCAACCAAATGTGACTAACACATTCAGGAACACATAATCATCCACGAGCATCTTCTGCCACAACAAACATAGATGACACATCTTTAAAAAATGATGAGAGTAACACATTAGCGGAAATATCAGGAAAGTCCTCGTCACCTATCGCCTCAACTCACTTTCAAGAAGATAATTCCAGTAACTTCGAGCTCGAAACTTTCGAATTCGCACAATCTGATACATCTATTGAGACACAAAGTAGCACCATCAAGAAAACAACTTCGATTTCGAGTGAAAGAACGCTGTTGGGTTGGGATTTGAATGAGAAGAAAGATCTAAGCTGGCACGAGACAAAAAGAAATATTGGAAAGCTTCAAAAAGAGCTCAGTTACGGTGCTGAAAGGGTAGGGGTAGCCATTTCCAAGGATATAATAGTAGATACACATATCCAACACTCAAGTCCATCACAACCTCCATCACCACCAAAAATGCATCGGAGTCAGAATCCAAGTCACTCGGTTCGGAAAATAAGATCCAGCGCCAGGATTACGAGGAAAGGTACTTTTGGCACGAGCTCGTCGCGTAAAGATACATCCAACGATTCAGAACTCTCTCTACAACCTCAGTCGTCAGATAATCCCACTATGGGTTCCAAAAGATCGGATATGGACAGCAGTCAGAATGTCGGTAAAAGTACCTCAGCATCGCGTGACGGGTATAGTTCTGAGGATAGCCTGAGCGCTGGCTCTGATATTCCAGCCACGGTCACGCCAAAGCGAGTTCTACCTACTTCTAGTGTCGACGCTGAATACTTGAGCGTGAAATCTTCAAGCATACACCCAGCCAAGTTTCAGAAGTCTTTGAGTTCCCACCGACGAGGGAGGGGGAGTGCGGGGTTATCGTCTCATCCTGTTGTGTGTTCTTTCGTCGCTCCAGGAGATAACAATGTGGATGGGGGTTTCCAGGGAGGCTCGAAGATCTCGGATCATCAGGTTGAAGCAGGAACTAGGAGAACGTTCGATATTCCTACGTCAGAATTCTTGAAAACGAGACGACCTATTCCGAAGAAGAACAAAGAAGTACTTGACATGGTTCCAGAGGAATGGCCGCTCAAGAACAAAGAACCATTGACTGGAACAGGAATCAGCACAAATCGTATTCAAAGAGCTGTTGCGGACAAAGGAACACGAGCTGTTGATACCACATATCCCATGGAAACGACGTCGCATTTGAATAGCACCAAACCATATCGTCCTACCTTCGACAAATTCTCCACGATGGGCCGCCGACCAATTCAACCTAAATCCAACCTCGAGCCCAAGCCTGTACCCGAACTGGAAAAGGGAGAGAAAGTTTGGCCATACAAAGCAGTCACCGCCCTTGAACGTCGCGAAGATAATGGCGAATCCAATTACTATTATCTCATCGAATGGGATGGAGGCTGGGCACCCACCTGGCAGCAGAAAAGCAACACAGACGAACAGCTGAAGAAAGAATGGAAGAAAAAAAATGACATATGGAAGGAGCAATTGAGAACCAAGGCTGGAAGAAAATTGGCGAAGGAAAAAAAGATTGAGAGGATACTGTTTGACGAGGCGTCTACGTATTTGGTGCAGTATACGAGTAACTTGAGGCCAGGGTGGGTGAAGAAGTCGGAGGTGGATGACAAGCTGGTGAAGAAGTACTTGAAGGAGAAAAAGGAGTGGAAATATGAGGGTGATGGTTTGGGAGAGGTGGCATCGGGATACAGTGAGGAAGAAGAAGAAGAGGAAGAGGGAGAGGAAGACGACGAAGATGAGGATTTGGAGTTGGATGACGGACCCATAATGACGGAGGCCGAGACACTACAGTACGAGGCAGATTTGGCCGGATCCTTTCGAAGTTAACTGTTGTCCTGAAACCAAACCAGTTCCAGATTACCGAACATGAATGTGGACAATCTATTCGACTTTTCAACATCGCAGATGAGCTGCATATACGATGTAACAAAGCGATTTTTTTCTCGAAATGCGAGCGGTCTTTCGTGCAGACATTGCAGCCAATCTCTTATATCCTCAACTCATTTGCTTGATTGCTTCGGGCATCCATGAATTAGGCGAGATTACTCACGGAAATCTTGATGGCTGATGGTTGTTTCTTCGTCGGGTATTGAGGCATACGAATGGCCCGTCCCATTGAGATAGTGTATGTAGCTGGAGATTCGGATGAGAGATTTAGAGAACTCGTTGAATTATCTTTTGTAACCCAATTGACTGTCTGTTTGGTGCAGATTGATGTTGAGATATTTGAGAAGAGTGATTAAGTATCCATCCATCTGACTTGTAGATTGGAGAAGACGTCGTTTGCTTTAGGATTGGTATGACCGGGAAGTACGAGTGTATTATGTCGAGTTTAGGTTGATTCGTTTGACATACCCTACGGGCACCTCAGGAGGGTAATTAACCCACCAGTAGGTTATTATTGTACTAAACCATGTATTAAAGTGCAATGAGATGTATTGAGATCTTGTATTGAGATCTGAATACATAGTTTAAGTCTAGCATGAATTAGTTCGATATAACTTCATTTTTTTTCATTTTAAATCGATGATTTCAAATTTATTTATATTTACTGAAATCTTTCAATCAATTCTACAACTTTTTATTCAAATCAACTTGAATACTTTCAATGCTTTCAATATTCAGTAAGTTAGAATGGTTTCAATATTTTCAATATTCAGTAAGTTAGAATGCTTTCAATGTTTTCAATCGTTTATATAAACAATTAAAGATTAACAACAACAAGGGTGCGACAACAAAGTTCAAAATAAGGTATGAAACTCAGGGAGGAAAGAGTTAGGAAGACCAGGGAGACTAGAAAGGCCAAAAAGGCTAGGGAGGCCAGGGAGATCAGGGAGGCCAGGGAGGGGAGGGAGGGGGAGACCAGGGAAGTCAGGGAGGGGAGGGGGTAGCAATTGAAAGGCCTGGGAAAAGGTGATCAACGATATCGGAGGCCTTTTTAACTTCAAATCTCAATATATATTTTGAATCTCAATATACATGTTAAAAAGGATGCTTATCAAAAATGGACGATTTACCCTCTTTGGAAGAGTTATTTACCCTCCTGAGGTGCCCGTAGGGTCATTGCAGACTTCCTTCCCATGCATACAATGTGATAGATTAAGTAACTAACTCTCCAACGTTCTAGTCCAAAGATTCGACAACTCCATGGTTCGAGTTAACCCTCGCGAGAGAAAAGGAATTGCGAATTTCCCAAATGCTTTTTTCATGCACGGAGCCGCATCATGCTCATGTAAAAGTTTCACCAGAACTTCATAGCCAGTATGCCACTTAGCTGCATTAGATACCGGCGGACTCCAATGATCCGGCAATTTCTCTTCGTTATTTGGCTGTTTGATTCAAAGCGGTGCTTTTGTACGAGTAGATGCTTGGACAGGAGGGTTTGAACTCTGCGCTGTCTGGACTGTGATCTAAGAATGCTCTGCGATTAATTTGGAATTCTTCAGTACCCCTCGCAAATAAGACGGTGAATCGATTTGCGCGTAATATCGTGTGGCTTGTTCTTTGAACTTCTTTCTGAGGGAGATGTTCCGAATATTATCAAGTACCGGTATCGTCAATTGCAATTACGGCGATTGAAATGTTGTGTAAACGGTTGCTTAGCTTATGCTGAAGGATTGTTCGACATGAATGAGATTGAGAAGTTGATTAAAACTCGAGTAGAATACTCGAATATTTGCGGTGTAATAAATCAAGAATATCGTGTCACGAAACATATGCTAGGCCAAGGTTACACTCTGGCACGTTTGATTCGTCGGAAAAATTCCCGCACTCTCATGAGAGTTGATCACGTGGCTGACAACCAGTGCTCTAGATGTATCCCTTGAACCTCATCTCATTACTGATATACCGGTATCGGAATTATCTTAAAGGATCCACATAGAGAGGGATCAATGATAAGTGCATAGATGTAAGATACTGACTGCATTGTTTTCAGAATACGATTTATTGGGGAGAGTAGTGAGAGTAGTGAGAGATATACGGTTCTCCCCATTCTGAGGTTTCCTTGTCTCGTAGAGACTCTGACCGCAAACTACTAGTATAGTCTGTGCATAGGCTGTACTATACCTAATGCGTAGTCTTGATGATAGTTCTTCCGATCCGGATCTGAAGACTACGCATCTGGTTAGATCAAAAACTGTGCTACTAGGGAGTTTTTATAACCACACTCCAAGAATACCTCGCTTAAGCCTAAATTCCATAATATCACACTAAGGCATATACTATATTCACCTCTCACTGTCTTCGCACGGACCATACTAGTAGTTTGCTGTAAGAGTCGCTACGCTCCGTCGAAAAAGCGACTATTAGACTAAGAATGGGTTCTCCCCTCAAAACTGTCTCATAACCGAAAACTATCCGAATTTATACTCTCATCTCATAATCTCCGCATTCTTATCCTGACCCCCAGCAATCACCACCCTAAGCATACTCCAACCTTCCACTGTCCCATCCCGGCTGCAAATAACTCCAATCCCTATCAAATCCAAATCCACTCTCATAAGCCCCATAACTCACCAGCTCTACTCCTTCCAGCTTAGCTCCCACATCCGTCATCGCCCACAAACTCAACGCTAATTTATTCTCTCCCCTGTTATTGACGATACCAGGTGGAATAGGAAATACAGTTTGAGGACCAATATGCGGAACGTATTTTCCATACTGATAGCCGTTGATCCAGAACATGACGCGGGCGACGGTACCTGCTGGAGCGGATAATTTGATGCCAATGGGAACATCGAGATCGGAGTCGAGGGCAAGATTGAATGTTGTCGTGTAGAAAGATATACCTGAGGTATTGAGACCGATGAGGGGGGTAGAATGAGAGGGAAGTGAAGGGGATGAGGGGAGATGCCAGCCGAGACGTTCACCGTAGAAACCCCCTTCGTTCATGGGTCCACGTACTGGATCTATGTTTGCCGATCCTCCGGCATTTCCTTGAATTTTCCAAAGCTTGAAACCAGTAGAGTTGGAAGGTCTGGGGAGAAGGAATGCGCCAAGGATTCCGCGGGGATTTTCGACGCCTTTCGCTGTTGATGTCTCGTCGTGGCCGTGGTAGTCTACTACCACTGTTACGAGATTGTCTTTGAGTTTGATGACTGAGTTATAATTCGCAAGAGAAAGGACGGCGTAGGTGGTAGTGGCAGTGGCGTTGCCGGTGTTTCCTCCAATGAGTACACCGTTCAACCAGGCGGTCCAACCAAAAGCTAAACCTCCAGAGCATGTGATATTGATTGATGTGTAATTGAGACCATCGAAATATCCACGATAGATTTTGGGTCCTGTGTAATAGCCATAGTCGCTTGAAAACAGAACGGGGAGAGTTAAAGGTGCTATGGGACTTGATGTAGAAGTTTTATTGCAGACAGTCCATTTCGAATCGTCGTAGGATAATTCTTTCTCTGGGAGGGAATTCGCCGACTCCCAATTGATTAATGATGGTAATGAAATGATTCTACCTTCAGTACCAGAAAGTGCTGCTATGTACGACCCATATTTGGTTTTCGTCGTAGAAAGCCGAAGACCATTCCATACAATAGCCTTAATTGACGAGTCCCCAGAAAAGACTTCGATCGTTGTAGCCTTGTCGTTATCACCATATATTTGAACCGCTCCATAGGACGATGATGCACTTCGCACCAAGTATGGCCCCAGGACAAATACCTGCTCATCAGGCTTGACCTGAGGGTTGGATGTTGTCGGTGGTGCCCAGAATTTCCAAGCAGAAGGTCGGTCAAGTAGATATACTAAGGTTCCATCGGAGAACTTTAAAACAGTCTGACCAGCTCCTTGAGTGTATGTGAATGTTTGTGAAGACGAGGTATAATTTGACGTTGTGTTTGCAGCGAAAACGGAATTCCCATAGACTTGATAGGTCAATTTTGACGTAGTCTTGAAAGCAAACTGGCCAATTTGTCCCTCTTCGATATACAGGACTAGAATATCAACATCAAATGTACCATAAACAAGGATATCCGAAGATGCATAGAGAAGCGTGTGGTTTCCGAAGTTATAGTCCGTGACGAGAATTTTACTTTGACGGCCATTAAGATTGACATTCGAAGCAGTCACAGCTCCAAGCGAGGTATTCAAGTACACATCGAATGTAACAGATGATCTCGAGCTAGAGGTAGCTTGCTGTACGACAGTAAAGCCGGCTTGGGTATCAGGGTTTCGTAAAACCCACGACCAGATGCCAGTTGAAGATACCTATTGCTGGTTAATCTCGTTTCTCGACACAGATAATAAGACGTACACTATATCCAGTACCATTTCCAATCATATCCGTCTTAAGCAGGTCGGTAGAAACTCTTGTGAAGAGTCCAATAAGTTTAGTCTGTGAAAGTTTATCTCGAATCTGACGGGTTTCTCTCAAGGGCGCCGCGTAATCATAGGATGTATAAACTACTGGAGCTGCAGCTATTCAAGATATTAGAGATCATTTCATTAGTGATATGCGAAGTACACTTACAATGACCCCAATTGGTACCACCCCAGGCCATATACAAACTCATCAGAGTTGTTCTTTGCCCAATGTTGTTTTTATAGTAGACATCTGCAAAGGAAGGTTCAAGCTCCGATTGACAATCATCATAAAAGCTACCACCCCATGGAGTGAAATAACCACTTTCAAATTCTGGAAAGTAGTTTGGTTGTGTGTAAGAGTAATTCGAGAACCACTGATGGTAATTGCGAACAACAGAGAAACCAGAGTTTGGATTAGTACATGATAAGCCACCGGGGTCTAGATATCGATTATATTATCAGCTTGAGGTACAATGAGAGAATGTATAACGCGACCGAAAGGTAAGTTATCTTAGTATACTGGACTTACATGAATCTAGGCCATAAACATTCACAGCACCACCAACGTTCTGATAGTCAGTGCTCCAAGATACGCTCCTCTCGCCCTTTTCATTATGACTAAGAGGGACAGTAACACCAGCATTGCGAAATGCAGCTTCAATTTGCTCCATATAAAGAACTAGAGTGTTGGTCGCAGAGTGAGTTGTCTCTTGAAGTTCGTTCTCAACCTGATTGAGGATGACAGGCTGTCTCAAGAGTTAGCATGCGTCGAAGAATTGTGCAATATAAATCTTACTCCTCCGTTAGTAATTTGATTCTTTGCTATAATTTCTCCAATCTCCGTGATCCATGGCAGCCAAGATTGATAGTACATAGCATTGTTTGATCTCAACGTCCCAATACTACCATCGGATCCCCATAATGCGAAACCTCCACCATTAGTCTCAGCATTAGAGTATGGTCCGGCTCGAGCAATGACCCAGATTCCTGCTTCCTTTGCATAGTCAAGAACTCTCTGGACATTTTTACCTGACGTTTCGAAGTCAAATGATCCTTTTGAGGCCTCATGATAAGACCAGAAGAAATATATACTATGCCAGTTAGATAATCCAGATTAGGCGGCATTTAGCCTACCTAATTGTATTAAAACCGTTTGCTCGAAACTTCTGAAAAATATCCTAGGACACCGTAAGATTTCTATCTATAATGAGGAATAAGGAACGTACAAGCCATAGTTCTGGAACAGGCATGCGCTGATAATGGAACTCAGCAGAACTTGAGTAGTGGTTAGCAAAGATCAATGATGACTTCAGGAAATCTCACAAAATAAATGCTCTATCACCATTGACAGTCAAACTATATGGGTCCCATTCTACAGCGTCGGTTAATCCATCATTTGTGACAGCTCCACTCCGCAGTAAGAGGCAGAACGTAGTGAAAATGTTTAGTAACCTCATGATATCACCTTATGTTATCAACTAAAGAATTCCATAACAAATATTGTTTCTTATATAGCAATATGAAGACAGCATCAATTGGCGAACTGATTGCGCTCCGGGATGATGTTCTTGCCGATTCACCCCGCATCCCGACGGCTCGGAAGATGCTGGATTTCCAGCAATCAGAGTGGGAATCATTGTGGATTGCCCAAGAGTCGAAGCCATCGTAGGGTTCGCGCAACGGTCTCAGTTTTTGGCTAATGTATACATCAAATGATCATCTTGCGCAGAGGGAGTTTGGGATTTTTGTCTGCAAATATGTGACACAACTCGGCGAACTTTCAACCGAGCGGCAATGTATATTTTGGTCGGGGTATAAGTTGATATAGTCTGACAGGCCTGACAGGTATGACAGGTACCAAAACCCCAAGTGGAAGCTAGGATACAGAAATTGACATGTATATTGTTCCGTTAAAACGAAGTAGGGAATGATAATGTAGCACTTTACCCCAACTGGATCAGTAGAGATATGATCTAGGGCCGAGCTGGCTTGGATCAAAGGCTCCACCAAGGAAGGGATGATTTCAGTGGCAAAGGGTTGGAGGGGAAAGAAGAAAACGTGTCAGTCCTGAGTCAATTATGAATCTCATACCGGTATACGGGTATGTTGTCAAATTGCATCGATATGGTGAGAATGTCAAAGTCTACTCGGGCAATATCGGTTGTAACAACAATTTTCCGCGTCACATTGTCTGCTTGGCATTTACTGAGTAATTGATGATGTAATTGGGGAGAAGCACAGCCTCTATCGGCAGCCACAAGCCGACCGTGCCACATTCCCGTCTTGGTCCGAAGTTTGGGACGAGAGATTTTGTGTAATGAAAACCTTCAATCAGCTGAGCTGAGTGAGCACTCGGCGGCGGCTGACTTGACATGTTGTATATTGGTGACTCAACGATATTTCACTCGTTCATGCTATATCTTTCAACATTTCTTCCCGTACTGACTACTAGACTACAAGCTTAATCAACCAAGCAAAGCAACAAGAATACTGCACAAGCAAACTATTGGGTATAGAACTGAAACTTATATTTCCAAAAGAGATATTATCAATATGGTTCTCCTCGGCGGCCTTGAAGTCCTCGCAGCAGGCTACCTTATAAAGCAACATCTTAAACACAAAGAGGAGAAGCAACGTCTTGAAATCGAAGCCTTGAACCTCGAAGAACAGTCTTATCGCATTTATTCTCCTGATCGCGCCGGTCCAAGTCAACGAAGACGGAGACATTCTCACAATGAGGAGCACGATCACGAACATGATAAGAATAGGGGGAGGGAAAGAAGTAAGGAGCGGAGGCACAGACGAAGGGATTCGCCGGAAAGAAAATACACTTATGACAGGAGGGGGCGACATGATCGAAGAGACGATAAGAGGAGAAGTAGAGAAGATGTGAGGCATACAGACTCGCCACCACCAAAAGGTGACTATGCGTCGCAACCAAAACCACAGGGACATCAATCGGCGCATCTATACACCAGCACACCACCAACGCAATGGGTTCCCCCTCCTCCTTCACAACAGCGCATGAATAGTCCGCCAATCATCACTACCTCTCCTCCCTTCACTCGTCATCCTCAACCTTATCCTCCTTATCAAACGTCGCCGCCACCTCTTCACCCAACATTTGCAAACGAACCATACGCTTACCCACCCGAAAAATTACCCGAGTCGATGCTGAGACCTGGTGCACCAACTCGGGGTCGCTCATCGTCTGCGCCAGGCGATATCTATGACAGTCCAATGGCAAATACCTCGAGAGTTAGGATCGCTGTTCCAGGGGAGGACGGGCTTACAATTCCGGGCGAAACAAGAGATCCACCACCCCCATACGAAGAAATTGGTGGAAAACACTGATGATAACGAGAGAAACGCCCTAGGCCGGTTGAATGAATGATGATAATGTACGAACGAATGGAAAGCCAGATCTTTGTGGTGTAGCTACGAAAAATGGATTTTGGGTTACTGGACTAGGTATGGATTTGGTATGGTTTCGGAATATCCATTTGGCTCACATTGAGTTTTGTCTTCACTTTTCAAGGAGGAAAATATCATACATGAGAATTGCTCAATTTTGGAACAACTTCTTGGTGCTGGCCACCATATTCGCCGGAATATTACATCGATTGTAGGATGATGCAGTTCCGGCAGCGTTAGGTCTTATACTCAACAAATATGATTTATACAGCAATAATTTAGTTCCCTCAGTCGTTGCTTTCCTATCTATGTTCTCAGCCCATTGAACCCGGGCTAACGACTTTCAATCTTTGGGACGAAGCTTTATGATACCCAATCGGCTGCATCGTAAATGGCCAACTTGTATGATCTTCATTTGAAGACCCAAGTACCAAAAGCATGAGCCCCTTCCTTTCCTTTCCAGATACTTCGAAACCTCGCCTCGCAATATACCCCGCCATTTAATCTCGTATCGCTGATAGCATAACATTATTCTGATAAACCATTCTTCCTGTCTTGTCATCATCATCATCATTCATTCCGCAAATGTATCGGGCATCCAAGAGCACTGAGGGTCTTCTCATAAAGCATGCTGCCCCCTTCTGATCATTGTTTTCCATCATCATTTAGAAGAAGTCTTCATTGGGTCAATTTCCTCTGTTTTCAATCCGAGTTTAATTCGGGCGCATAATATCATGAACCTGAGGATCATTGCAATGTACTAGGATATAATTCATCTAAAGCACAAAAGAGGCACGGGTTTCATGGTTACAACATCAGGATCAATAGCAACTATAAAGTACTACCCCATATCTCTCTTCAATGGCGCAGTCGCTTCTTGAACCTATCAAACAACATCTTAAAGGCAACCAATACCACCAGTTGGGATGAACAATAGCACCAAGCCCTTGAACGTCTCAGACTTCATCTATGCATAATCAGACTGCTGATACTCGGATCTACCCGCTTGAGACGATGTCTGACGGTCGGATTATCTTTCATCATGACTACATTGCTTCATAGTTTGGTACCGGTACCTGGTTTCTCCATTAAATGCAATGCCATTATACTCATCCCAAATTACAGTATTTATGGTTATTGTCTATTCTAGCCGGCGATACGAACGACAAATTCCAACTAGATTCCTGCGGCGAAACTATAGCAGTTCCAACATGCAGGATTCTTCTACATACTAAGATGCTAACTGGATAGTTGGACTTGGCCCCCATTCGCTGTAACTACACCCTTCCTCTCTGCCGCTCGGACTATATCAATTATCCTACAGGAGCCGAAACCAAACTGTACATGACTTCATGAGATAATTAAGGACTCATTGACATATTTACTCTCTTTTACTTTCTCTCTTACTGTTCATGTTCTTGAACATGGCTGGGAAACTTTCCTCCATACAACCATGACAGTTTCTTCACATACGTTGTATGTCTCTTCACTCAGTGCATTTTGTATTCTACTCCTTGCAAAGCGAGGAAATGCAGATTTTACTACTACGAAGTGGAATCCTGTACGAGGGAATAAGTTCACAATAGCATGGAGCGGAACCAGTGATGCGGGTTCCAAGAACTTAACTTTGAACGATGCGGATAGTTCTGGCAATGAATTCGCCCTTGTTCAAAATATTGCAAGTATGATATATCCTCTCCACATCCCTTATGTCTACATATACTAATCATCACACAAGCTGGTATAAATGGAGGTTCCTTCAGGTGGTTACCATCAACCTCTATACCCGATGGTACATATGTCATAAACCTCCACGAGACACCCAATAAAGTGGATGCGAAAGGCCTGAAATTCATCGGAAAAGCTTTTGTATTTGGGAATGCAAAGGCAAATCAACCAGTGGTAGTAAGCTCCCCTACAACTACATCTGGTGCCGCACAGGTGGTTCAGACTACAAAACCTACCACGACTTCTGGCAAACAAGAAATAACTGTGCTGGCACCAACGACTATTGTTATTATTTCTACACCGTCTTATTCCGCGACGGTTGAGACGGTTGATGAGCCCTTGACTATATCGACTTCTGCGCTTGTAGAATCTACTTCTACTTCTAATTTGGAAAGTTCATCAACCACTGTTCTTTCTAGCATACCATCCATTTTCACAACTATTGTAAGTTTTCTGTGCATCCACCTATATCTCAATCCACGACTAACATGCCTTTCTTCCTAGCTTACCTCTACCTATTTATCTACATCGGCTTCCCAATCCCACCTCACAACTTCCGCCTCCTCACCACCCCCCACATCACCAACATCCTATCCCTCACCTCCATCCTCTCCCTCATCCTCATCCCCATCCCCCTCCCCCTCCCCCTCTTCCTCCCCCCTCCACCCCTCACTCAAAACCGCCCTCCTCCTCACCACCACCTGTCTCCTCCTCCTCACCATAATCTCCACCTACACAGTACACCGCTATCTCCAACTCAAAACAGAAACTCTACTCGGCAACAAAATAAACCATGGAAATCAATGGTACCGGTACACGTACAAATGGAAATCCAGAAATAAAAATGGAAATAGAGGACATGAAAAGAAAGGAGAAAATGAAAAGAAAGTTAAGGTGACAAAAGTGATGAAAGACCCAATATTTTATGATGGGCAGAAAAAAGGTTGGGTGTTGAGGGTAAATAGTGTACCGGTGGAATTGGGGGTTGAGGGTAAGGATAAGGATGAGGGTGAGGGTGAGGGGAAGATGTGGGTGTAGTTGTAGTTGTGGTTGTTGTTAAAGAAGGGGGAATTGGGAGGATGGAGGGAAGGATGGAGGGGTGGTGGTTTGGTGTTTTCTTTTGGTGGAATGGTGCATTTATTCATGGGCGGGATTGGTGATGTTGTGTTACTTGTATAAAATCACTTCAAGTCCCAGGAATTTAAAGATTAATGCATGTATATCCTATATCGTATAGGTATTATATATATATATATCTACGTATATAACTTACTAGATCAAAAAATTCAGAATATCAATACTAATACCATGTATTTTATACCAGCATATTCGTTAACACAGTATTATAGAAATTAGAAATTAGAAATTAGAAATTAGAATCTAGAATCTATTATACGATTTGAATAGTAGAGTTAGTAGTCAGTCAGTGTATTTACTTTTCCATTTAAGTAAAGTAAAGTAAAGTAAAGTAAGAAAAAGCATTAGCACCAGTACTTAATACTTTACACCATATTCACAACCGACTATATAAAACCATCTACTACTCTTATACTATAGTATGACAAACTCAACTCTACTCAAGTAATAAATAGTTCAGTTCAGGAATAACAACTTGAAGTGCAATCACAAATCTATCCACGGTGAACAAAAAAACTATAGTAAAAGCCACGAAATAGAAAAACCGATTGATATATTTTATTTTTATTTTTAATTTTATATATATTTTTGAAAATTTCTATTTTTATTTATTTATTTATTTGTTTTTGTTTCTTTCTAGATTAGGTTCTATGATATATGTGTATCTTATCTATTTCTAGTATTTTCCAATATTTTCCATCTCATCTTTATACAATATAAATATAAATATAACACGATATCGTGCTACGTACGCATTACCAAATATGTGTGATATCCCATGTCCCATATCCCATATCCCAAGAACTCCCACGCCCTTTCAGGCTCGTATGTATCTTTCCCATCCTCATCCTGCATATTAACGCCGTTGAACCATCTCCATATATATATCCATGCACATACACAGCCACATACATAACCATAACCATAACCATAACCATAACCATCTACACAAATCATCCATTTCCATTTCAATTCTCTCCCGCATGCTCCACCCACCCAACCTCTACACATCATCCATCATCCATCATCCATCTCCAAGAGCACCCAACCTCAAGTACTAATAAAAAACGCCCCCACGAAAACCATACACGTAAAACCCGTCAACAACGTATACTGAAACTCATGAAAGAAAGTCGTCTTCGCATAACGCGTTTTCTTCCATTCTTCCTTGGGTCTCGCAATCTGCGTCTTATCATCACGATCCAAGAGTTCCTCACGATCCGGCATCGTCGGTGGCCAAATCGCATAGCGGATGGGTTCGAAACACGCCGTGATGCACAGGACCCAAAGCATGGGTGGCCAAAACGCATGAGTGAGTAAATAGACGAGTTTTTTCTTGAGCGTGTTGTTAGTGTCGGCTTCGATGACTAGACCTTTAACGGTCGAATAGGTGACGGCGCCAATGACGAAGAGTATGTAGAGTAGATGCATGTAGCATTGACAATCCCAGAGGATAACCCAGAGACGACGGAAGAGACCTGCGCGCGTAACCGGGTCGCGCTCATTGATGTCGCTTTTCTGACTGCCGGAACTGGAGAAGGCCATTGCGCGGCCACCGAGCCAAGAAGGGAGGATGAAGGACATGATGATGGTTTTGGCGTGGAAAGGCGCCATCCACATTTGAGCGCCAGCGTCGCGCTGCGCGAGACGGTAGCCCGAGGGGAGATAGGTGACCCATTCGTTGGTGCGCGTCAGTACGAGCGAGATGAAACAGAGGCGGATTTGCCATTTGAGTTGGAATTCGTTGTTGTAGGCTACTAGTTGACCGCCGGAGACGAGGACGATGGGGATGGTGAGGAGGGCGATGAGAAGGAATATCTTGAAGAATGCATCGATTGCGAATACGAAGGCGGATAGACGAGCGAAGAATCCCATTCCCTTGACTAAATCTCCAAACAGACAAAATTTTAATTTGAGTGCGGTTTGCAACGTTCCGAGTGTCCAACGCGTGCGTTGTTTGAGATGACCAGTGATGGTGTCGGGGACGGTACCGAATTGTAAGGCTTCGTGACAAAAGGCGGTTTTCCAGCCAGCGCCCAGGAGTAGAGATGAGGTGAAGGTATCTTCGGCAAGGGAACCGACGGGCCATCCTCCGATATCGTCGAGGGCTGCGCGGCGGATGGCATAGCCGGAACCAGTACACCAGGCTACTCCGTTGGCATCTTTGGTAGGCTCCATTACGTGAACGAAGGCATCGAGGGATTGACAGAGAGGGTCGTTGACAGGGACGTTGTAGAAAAGCTGGTTGCATTGTTAGTTTTTATTCACGTGATATGAATTATATTGACGGGAAGAAAAACATACCTGCGGTGGACAAACAAGAGCCATCTTATCGTCAATAATCATATGTGCAATAATAGCTCTCAACCAATCCGGCTCTGGTATCATATCCGCATCCAAAGGTGCAATATATTCAGCTTCACCTCCTTCCAAATTAAGAACAAAATTGGTGCCGCCGGTAAGATTTCCAGCTTTGAAATGATGTGGGACGCCCTTGATCTTGATGCGAGCATGGTAGTAGACGTTAGGATAATCGAGCGAGAGTTCATTGACGGCCTTTTCCAACTCAGGATCTTTGCCATCGTCGAGAACGACGACGCGGAAGCGGTCTTGTGGGTACTGGGATTTTTATTAATATTTTACACTCATTGTGATGGTTGGGACGATTGAGGACTTACATCACCAGCAAGAGCAGCGCGAGCTGTATCAAGAACAACATCTACATCTTCGCCACAGCATGTAATGAAAGCATCAACAGTAGGTACCTCGTCACCACGAAGACGAAGCTTGGGGCGTGTACGGCCGCGGATAGATAACATTTGGTACATTTGATGGAGTAGAGCGGGACCTATTCATCGTAAGTTTGGAAGAATTTCTTGGCGGGCGGAAATTAAAATGAGGAATGTTTTGTGATGGGCGGGAACCCTCCGCGCAAAAGAAAATTGGTAATCATTCAAATTTAACAACATGAGTTGAATATTGAAAAGAGAGACAAAATACTTACAAGCAACGCAACCTTCTGATGCAATAAAAAGCCATGCCATGATGTACACTTTGTGAAATGCCTTTTGAGCTTGAATGGTGCAATAAATTCGGAATGCATAGTAGAGGAAGTATGAAGCGCAGGCTAGCAATGTGAAAAATGGTGATAATCGATACATCTTTCGTTTCCAAGGAGAAAGAAAAATTTCATCGTCGTGCTTGTGCAATGTTTCGATTTTATATATAGAGGTATCATATTGCTTGTTGAAGGTGTTGAAATGTCTGACTTTTCGAGCGGTGGCTGGATCTTCCTTTTTGAAGTCTTCATAACTGATACTCTCATTCTCTCGTAAACCTGGTGATGGGCATGCTGTTGCTCCATCGTAGGATGAGGTATCGGAGAAAGAGTCGCCATGAAAAGGGCTTAATGATGGGCCGTATGATGATGGGCCGGGTGTGGATGTGCCCGGTGTTTGACTTCCACCTAAGAGAGTTGCTGAGCTGTAATTGTTGAGTAAATATGTATTGGACGATGATCGCAGGGTATTAGGTCGACTGTTTTGAATGGTATCAAAGGAAGCGACTGAATCATTGTTGTGAAATCCACCCCATGGGGCTGCTGCAGGCGACGGTGGTTGAGGCAGAGGTTCGAATTCTCCATGTTCGCCATTGTCACCGTGAACCGCTCTAGCAGGAAATTGTATCATTCTGTATATGTTTCGACAAACTGTCGAGTGAACGAGTGGAAGCAAAAGAAAAAGACTCGGGGTCTAAAAAGATGACTAGAAGCCTAATTGACTAAGTTGAGAAGCAAGAAAAATCAGATGAGGAAAACGAATGAAGCCTAAAGAAGGAAAGATTGGTAGGCATCATCGTATTCTTAAAGAGATAGACATTCCATTCCGCATGCACGATATCTGCGAGACGAAAATAGTAAAAGATACGAAGTGGGTGTGGGTGATAAACACGCATGCCCTTGCCAATGCCTCGAACCTTGAGTGGCAATAGTGCAAAATATGTACATGTACGTGACAAGGGAAGAGGGGAGGAAGCTAATCCTGGATTCCCAGTAGACTTGGACACTGACAATAATGGACAGTCGGACTACGAGCGCCGAGCGGTACAGATCGATCATTCAAAGATATTGTGGAATAGAATACTCGATCCGTTCATCTAAAAACGGAAACGCCACACAGACCCGCACAGAGACCACATATTTTGTATCGATCTGGCTTGTCGCCTAGCAAACGCCGAACACAGGCCAGTTGTGAACTTGTGACAAGGTATAACATCAAGATTTTGGTATGAAAGTACAGGGAAAGCTTGAGATAACCACTCCACTCTATCGAGTAGTGAGAAGAGGGGACCGAGCTTGATAGATGAGAAAAAACATGCGCAACTAAGGAGGGGCGAGCCACCTTTAGACCCCACTTCTATACCAAGCCATTCACACAATATGTTTTTTATTCTTCAGCTTGGTTGTATAAAGTTTGAAAAGGACCCCCCCACGGAAAAGTCCCATGTTGTTGCAACCATATTTGATGAAATTGGATTTATGCATATAAAATAGGATTTCAAGCCCTACCAAGGTTCGACATTTTGATGATACCTACAGCAGGTACAATTCTTCATCCATCTTGTAAGTGTAAATGTTTCAGTGACCAGTACTCAAGTGACTTTGAAAAAGAAGACTTTGTATCCTATCAGTGCAAAGTGGGTATTACGGAAGTTAACGCTCGCAAGGTATGAGCCTGGACCTATGAATGACAACAAGTTGACAAAAAGTTGTTTGCAGTACAGTAGTGTGAATGTGCACTTCTACTTCGGGGCATCGGGATCAAGATAAGAAAGATATTAAGAGGAAGACCTTGCAGGTTATAACTCGATACGAGGCAGGCATGTAGCGGATGAGACGGTTCTTCTCCATAACGGTTCTGAAAGCGAAGGGAGTTGGTTGAAAAATATCCACTCACCAACACAAGCAATATGCAATATCTGCTATCCTAGAGATTCGGAAGTTAGTTCCAAGAAACATGGTTGGCCCGATGATGCTCGGGCACTTGCCCATGATTTCGTCCAGACTCATTTGAATCTGGCTTAACAAAGGGAATTCCCATCGGAGCTTTTGCTGATAATGAGAGTCCATTTCTCCTCTTCGAGATCGAATTGTTCAAAGTGGATGTTGGAGATAGTGGAGGGATCCCCTTAATATAAGTTTGAATTCGTAATTGGTGATGTCCTCCATGATGAGATTGGGTGAACTCCTGTCAAAGTCTCGAAGCTTCAGAACTTTCAGAGGAAGGTTTGCAAGCCTTGTCATAAAGGACCCAGCTGTTTCTTCTTATCAATGAAGATTGAAGGACTAAAAGTGGTACTAATTGTGGCGACGCGTGAAATATGCATGGTTTGAAGTGGAGAGAGCTTCTTCTTTTTGTCGAATCGGACGACTGCGGTTGCAAGAGAGGAAACAAAAGAAAATAAACGTGGACACAATTAGGAAGAATCGTATGGCTTTTGCTTCCTTTACCTTGAACCTTGTGAATAAGATGATTTTATAATAAGAATAATAAGGTAAAATAGAGTAAAAACGACCAAATTCAGAAATATGTGTTTTTCTTATGATAACAGATTACATAATACCATGTTGCTGCGCCGCATTGTTATAATATATCCGCCCCGGCTTGGAGTTTCAACGGCCGGCCAGCGCATCTAGAAGAGCGCAGATACATACATAAGTCAAAGACATTGTGCAAAATGTTCATAAAGAACTCCGCTTTCGATTGTTCCGCTCCGCCCGCGACCTTGAATTACGGGCATTCAATGCTTGATGTCGTCAGAATTAATCAAATTCATAATGAAATTTTCCCTTGGCTCCTCTTTCCTGGGATATCTTTACCGGTTGCTTCTGGAAGAATTCTAAATAGAGAATGAAATAACGCTAAGTTAAGGTTAATTAAATAGAGTTTTCTATCGTATTAATACTGTTACCGATATTCATCCTCAGTGTATGTATTTTAAGAAATCTTCTTAAAGATGCCAACGCATGATCTTTACGAAAAGACCTCAGTGTTCTATTTTCATTCCTGATTTCAAGCCCAGGCGAGCGAGCAGTCTTAATAGTTCTTGCCTGTATATAAAATTTTCTCGGTAATTTTGATGACTGACTTGGTAACAATTCGCTAGAGCAATGAAGGGGTTGTTAGATTCTGACTGAGGCATGATAATAGGCACTGTACAGTACTCAACTAAAGAATAAAGCTACTCATGCAACCGGAAAGTACATAAATAAGGGTTTGTTAGCACTATCTTAGTGCCCGGATCTAAGTATTCTCCTGCAGCATGAGTAAGTCTTCGTTCGGTCTTCTTTACTATCCGGTACCTCCAATTAGAAGAATTTCGATATTCATCTGAAGTCGTTTCTTCACACCTTATCAGAATATCATTGAATTTATCTTCATCATATTATGTTTCCTGTCCCATGATTCTGGGATCCCAGAGAATCTCCAGCATCTCATTCGGATTCTACTCGTACAGTACCAACCAAATCCCACTTTTCACTCCCTGGAGCAATCAACAGAATATATCGATACGGAGTTTACGAGTAGCACGGACTATACTTTATTAATATCTCTGTCTCTACTGAGTCTACTCGTATCTCATCATTGTTCATAAGGCATGACTGACTGACTGACTGATATCGGTAATTGAGAGACTAAGGTACTATTGAAGAAAAGGAAGTTCAAATCAACTTATTTCTACAATTTAGAACCGGTTGCTTAATCAAAGCAAGTACCGGTACTCGTATGTTAAAATTGTTATGCTCAGTACAAAACTCGCGAAAAAAAATTCACCTCAAATATTTTCCGCCGAGTAGTTAACCTTAGTTCATTATCACCAACTAGCAAGAACCTTGAAATCACACATATCAAGCATATTCTATGAATTCCCGTATCAAACCACCAATAATAACGGCTCCAAACCTTAACCATTCGGGAACCAACAAATTAAATCGAGCACCAAGAACTTACTATACGATGCTAAGTGATTTAGTCAGGTACAACAAACACATTGCTCATTGCTCGTACAAGCCAAAGAGGTGGCACAGGGTCCGAGCAGGATGGTGGGATGGATGAGTATGGCGCTATAGTACAGGCTATACAACTTGGATACAACTTGGTCTACTCGAGTATAAACGCTGATGAATGAATTCCGATTATACAGATATAAGGAATTAACTTCTACAACAACAAGACCCAGAAAATAGGCCTTTTTTATAAAGATTTGAAGAAGACGACATTTTTCTACACATTTGATAACAGAACCTCGAAATTGATCCCATTACTCTTGGCGTTGTTCGCTCATGATCCTCTGTTATATATAGTCTTACATTTGCGCGCCGAGAGAGGGTTGCCTCTGAAATAGGAATATACCAATGTACTCGTATAGCCATTACCAAACCAACAATGTACTCGAGTAGGGCCTTTCTTTGACATATCTCTGTCGAAGAGACCTCAATTGAGGACCAATTGAGGTAAACTACAAGGCGCAGTAGATGATAGATGGTAGGAATTCTTGGCCAACATTTCATACAGTTGAAAAGTTGCTATCTTCGCTGAACTGAACTGAAAGTAAAAAAAAAGTGTTTATTTGTTTGTTTGTTTTTGTTCTGTTGGTTGATTTTGTTTCCTCAACTTATCAATAGTTGCTTTCTGAGAATTCTAGTCGAGTTCTTGATCGATTGATTTGATAAGTTGTTCTGTGATCTCTGTACTAAGTACTGTATTTTGATCATTAGGTCCTAGGGGGAGCATCGCATTGAAGTTTTCACATATTTGTATTCCTCACATTCTATCATTTCCTTCACGTTTATATTCATCTTACTGCTGGACAGTTCATCAATCAATCAATCAGTCAGTCAGTCAGTCAGTCAGTCAGTCACAAGCACTCTCTCTATCTTTGATCATCAACCACCCTTTATATCTCCATAAACATTTCTATTCATGTCCTCATGACTTTCCAACTCTACCACTGCAGTTCTCACAAGCATTGTGTAAGTCACCTCTCCCCATCTTACCCATATACAGTCCCTCACCACTACCCATATAACCTCCCTCTCACACATCTAACCCTCCTTTCTTCTCTCTCAGTTTCTCATCCGAATCAAGACCCTCTCCTTCCGTGCATATACCCCGAAATGTTTCTCAAACCCCAACACAAAATCATTATCGCACTCCTCACATCATCAATACAAGCACAAACAACACAAATATGCGATTCTACCAGCAATGCAACAACAAATTCGGGAAGATACACTTTCTTCCCGGATGTCGTAGCTACTGATGATAGCGGATATCAGTGTACAGATGTATGTTGCTCACTATTTGAATGAATACTACTTTTACCAAAATACAAAAGAAAGAAAAAGAAACTCACCCCTTTCATACAGTTTACCCTCGCGGACGACACCACAACAAACACCACCCTCTTCACCACGACCTTCTCCTGGTCCGGCACCGACGCAAACACCTCAACCCCGCACTCTTTCCCCTCCCTAACCCTCAATCTCCCCTCCATCCTCCCCATCCCCATTTCCAACATCTCCCTACTCCCCCTCACCAACAACTGGGCGCTCTACCCCGGCAACCCCCTCTCCACCATCTCCAGCACCTCTGCCTCCTCCCTGCAAAACGTCTCCGTAATCGCCGCTTGCTATCTAACCCTATACCTCGACCTCACCCCCGAAACCTCGCAAAACGCCTCTCTCGCCGCCACCAAAATAATCATCTGGCAAGCCTCCTACGGGGGTCTCCTCCCCCTCGGCTACACCTCCACCTCCACCAGTATTTCCCGCCCTAGCATCAACCTCGCCGGCATAACCTACACACTCTACACCTCACAATCCTCCCCCTCAACCCAAACCCAAACAACCTGGGGCACACGTGCCCCCGCCGTGCCTCAAACGGTATACTCCTGGTATCCAGACTCAAACACGAGTTCGCTTACGGCAATGGATGTTTCACCTCTGCTAAACTATTTGTGGAGGGAGGTTTATGTCGATAGTGGTACGTATGTGGGTTATGTGGAGTGGGGATTGGATGCGAGACATGCAACGGGGAATGTGACGTGGAGTGTTTATGAGGTCGGTATGAATGTTAAGCGAGGGACACCAGTGAAGGCGGTGGGAGGGGGGGCGGGGAGAGATAGGGAGGTTGGGAGGGGAGAGATGGTGGGGTTGGTGGTTTGTTTGGTGGGGGCGGTGGTGTTGTTTGGGTGATCGGGATGGTATGGGGGGATAGGATAGGCTGGGGTGTGGGTGTATGGGAAGTTCTTATGAATAGAAGATGTACGAGGGAGATACTATGGTTTCAATATGTTGATATGTAGATTTGATGTGTTGATGTCTTCGAGTTTCGATGTATAACGAATATAGAGACGATCCCATGGTCCATGGAGAATAAACCTATCAAAAATATATATACCATCCCGGATCCCAAGGTATGCGAGCAAACTCTCCGATCCTACAATGAATTCCTCTCTATCTATCCATCCATCCATCTATCCTCCAGCCCTAAAGCATTCTATCCCATCCGTCTTTTCAACAAAACCAAAACCCTATATCCTGAAGCCCAAAGGATTGTAAATCAACCTCTCAAATAGATTGAATCTCATTACACCTTTTAAATGATTATGAAAATGAAATTGAAACACAACCTCAAATACTGTATATCGAATCTCACTCAACCTTCCAATGAATACATAAAACCCCCCCAAAAAACCCCTTATATTGCTCAAATCGCATAGAACCCTTTCAAATCAATTAATGAATCAATCTACCTACCAATAAAATTCACCAATCAATAAAAGTCTCCCCAAAAGAGCCCCTTACTTAAAAGTCCCCAAATAAACTGCCTTCAATCCATACTGAGTATATACCCTCAACTCCCCAGAACAACCAACCAATTCTCTTAATCATTACTTACTTTATTCACTTTACTCACTTTACCTACATTATCTACTCTAGTATCCTATTGATATCCCATCAGTATCATACCCATCGCCCAACCAATAACCGCTTCTAAACTACAACCGTGACAATCATCAAACCTCCCTCCCACCTCCCACCTCTCAAATCCAAATCCAACTACATCAACCTATCTAACGGCATATTACTCGAGTATATCACTATCACTATTACTATCACACAAATACTCGAGTATTAGTTTATGGCATTTTATGGAAAGAGGAGATGGAGAGATAGAGAGAGGAGATAGAGAGACAGGGAAGAGAAGGAGAAGGAAAAGAGAGAGAGAGAGAGAGAGATAGA